TTGTGTGCTGGTATTCAGGCTCTGTTACCTGGAAAACCGTCCCTACTTCCGTCCTGCCCATGTGGGTGTGGAAAGGCAGGCGGAGAATGTATGGATGGAAGCAGCGATCTTCATATTCTTCCCTCCTTTTCCTCCTTCCTTTTCCCCTTCCTTCCATCAACCTAAACATTCTTGCAAACCTTCTCTCTTCAGAGATGGTTGTCGGCTTGGGAGCCTTCCAGGGTGATGTTGATTCCAAGTGTTGAGGAGAGGTTGCAGAAACATCCCGTGTGCCACAAAGCAGCCTGGAAGTGTGGGATGAGGTTTTTGCCACCATACATCAATAATGAATATTAATTTCTTCACTATCCATCATGGGTGCAGGCAACAGAACTCCAGGCTGTGAGGCAGTGAATTCCCAAGCTTTTTATTGGACGTTTCTCTTTCTCCCACAGTTTCTGAATATACCTGTAGGGGGTAGAATGTGCAGGCATTGGAAGGCAGGAAGCAATTGATGCTCATATGGATTGCTTAGCAGAGGTGCAGACACTTGCATGTCCTGACCCATCCCAAAAGTTGTAAGTAAGGATTTTCTTCACAAAACAGCAAGTTCAGCCTGTTTTTATCTAGTTTTCTGGCGGCAAAGTCTGTATGTACTATAAAGCAGTCTGCTATAATGTGCCAGGGGACATGGCCACGAACCAGGGTGGCAGGGATTAAGAAATCTCGGTCACAGTGGGAACAGATTTCACCAAGAGTTTGGAACAGGATTGCAACAGTAAGACTTGGCCCAGACATTCAGCTTGTACGCAGAGCAACGTTGAATTTCTTGCCGTATGAACATGTTTCTAGGTCACAGTTTTGTCTTCTGGAACATCAGAGGCAGAGAGGCTTGGCCTGGCTAAAATTTCTAGTGTAGACCACTCTTTAGTACACTCAGCTGTAGTCTTGCAGATGCTGGGGCTGCATTTGTGGGAGTTGGAGCGTGTCCTCATCTCATTCTGGCGAAATTCCTGTCACCAGGAGGCTGGATTTCTTGAACTTGGGTTGCACACTTGCATGTTTTGCTTACAAGCAGGAGGAAACTGCTTAATGCTTCAGTTTCTCATCAGGGAGAAGCAACGCATCTCATATTCATGTTAGTTTTTATAATCCAGCTGCACTCATTGGATGGAAATAAATAATTATTTTGGTTATTTTCCATTTTGTTCCTCAGATTGATATACTTGAAGACCCTGTTATTAAAAATGTCATCGTGCTGCAGACGGTTTTACAAGAAGTCAGGAATCGGAGTGCACCAGTGTACAAGCGAGTTAGGGACATGATTGCGAACCCTGAAAAACATTTCTATTCCTTCACCAACGAACATCATCGGTAGGTGGTGTGGAATGGGCTAATTAAGCTGTACTAGTGGCCAGTAAAGGAAAATGGGAAACAGAACTGGAAAATGTGAAATTAGGTAAATAAATTAGACAAAGACTTTGAAGGAATCATTTGGGGAAATACTTTTTAATTGCAAAAACTCATCTAGATGATGGCCCCAATCAAGGGCAAACAAACAAACAAAATATCCCAGAGTGAAAAAAAATACTGTGGGCATGTCTTTTGCAAATTATTTTTCACTTTTTTTAAGTGCTGTCAAAAAATATTTTAGAGCTTTTTTTTTTTCCATTTCATAGGAACGTTAAATTTCTAAGCTGTGTAATTACATCAGTTATTCAGGCCATACATTTTCTGAGTGAGGAAAAAAAATGTTTTCTCACTTACAGTCTCAAATATATAGGAACAGTTATGCTGCATTATAACCAATAGGAAACTTTGAATTGTGAATGTACACTGGTTAGCTAATAAGTCCTGAATATTTATAACCTTGTTCTTGTATTCATCTGTTAATATGGTAACATTTTTTGTTGGAAGTAAGGTTTTGAACCTTTGCATTCATCTCATGCCCTTCTTGATTAGAAAATTTTAATTATTATTTGATCTAGGTGCCATAGGTCTATGCCCCATACCTTTATAATCAGTATTGGTTTTAGCAGTTTTATACCTGTAGTATAGCTTAATAACCTGCTTTTCTGAAAATACTCCTTAGTGCTGAGTTTGAGTTATATGTGAGAAAGTTTTTTGGCTCAAATTTATACAGAAGTTGAAATAGAAGAGAGCTCCCAGGCAGATCTCCAAGTCATTCCAGTTGAGCATTTTGGTCTGCTCTGAGCTCCTTTCCTTTTACATGCATATTATGAAAGGAGACCAAAATGCTGAGTAAAGTTTACAGACAAAATTGTTAACTTAAATGATGGAAAAAATGTCTGTTTTATTGTCCCTTTTAGACGTATCCCAATACTTTATTATCTTTGCCAACTCAGTCTGTCACAGATTTGAAAAATCTTTTGGCAGAAAGCTCTAAGGAATTAAGAAGCAATTTCTTTGAATTTATTTGTTCTCTCAAGTAGTTTTCACTGCTGTTATATTGCAGTTCTACTGACTGTTCATTTGTAATTTCTTTCAGCCTCCTCAGTTGTCAGTGAGAAGGTTTTATTAGAAATGAATACTTTATTATTATTTTTCCTGACCCTCCTGTTTATTCACCCTTCCTTGGCCTGTAGAATGTTAGACATATGAGAGTTGGCGCAGTAGTGGTTCTTGACACGTCTTGGTCTTGTGCAGTCTGAAATTTGTTTTCTAGCAACTGATATATGTTGGCATTTTATTTATTTTTTTTTTCTGTCTTTCAAGGGAAACATACATAGAGCAAGAGCAAGGAGAAAGTTCTAACGACCGCAATGACAGAGCCATTCGGGTAGCAGTAAAATGGTACAATGAACATTTGAAGAAAATGAAAAATGAGGAGGAGATCCAAGTTATCCTTCTAACAAATGACAGGAATAATAAAGAGAAAGCTCTAGAGGAAGGGATAACTACTTATACATGTAAGTACAGTAGTGTATGGTTGTTTAATTGCTGAGATACATCATCACTGTAATATCTTCATATCGTATGGTTGTTTAATTGCTGAGATACATCATCACTGTAGTATCTTCATATCTGAATCATGTCCATCTCTTGCATAAATATTTGTGTTTGTGCTTTTATAGGTGAAGAATATATAAAAAGCTTGGTAGCTCATCCTGATCTTGTAGATCGTCTTGCATGCCTATCTGATGAAGGGGTATGTTTTTTTATATATATATATAAAATCAATCACGAATGGTTTGCATTAGCTCTATTGATATCTACTAGTATCAGCTTAGAAAGTGAAGACCCTAGATTTCATCACTAGTTTGACAGTTGAACTGTTTGACATTCTGAAAGAGAAATCTTGCACCTATTTATATACCTATTAGGAGCTATCAACTAGTTATTTTCAAAATAACAGGTACTTTAGACAATTTTGATGTGAGGGCAAAAACTAGCAATAGTATAAAAGTAGTATACAAGTGTATAAAAGTGTTAGAAACAATTGAACTAAAATGAAAACTACAGAAATCTGGATTACAAGCCATTGAGAATTTGTTTTGGGTGTGTTGTTTTGAAGCTTGTGTTGAGTTACTGTTTTTCAAAAGTATTATCTATCAAAAGCTCCGACTTTTATAGCCACTTAATATGATAGAAGTGCAGGCTCTTGTGCAAAAATTGTTTCCTTCCTTGTCTATTTGCTTTTCATAGCTAAGGTTTATATTTTCATGAAACGCTGATACAGCTGAAACTAACGCTAACCAAAAAAAAAAAAGAAAAAAAAAAAGCTTTTTTCCATCTGAGGAAATTCTAACAAAAAGGAGTGGAATATGTAAGAGTGGGAAGAAAGTGGACGGCTGCACTAATCTTTTTGGTGGTTACTTGAACTTTGCTCAGCTTTGATTGATAGTCTGACTGCCTCCACGGTTTAGTCACGGTGATGTCGTTTCATAATGTTGCATATGGCTGCCCATATTGTGTGCCACACTGTTTACTGTGCAGTACCGTGCTAATACTTTTTTTGCTGAGTGTATGCTTGTAGACAGCACATCCAAATAAGCATTAAAACATCCGTCACTTAGGCAGGATGTTTTTAAGGAGCTGCAAGCAAACAGAAAAGGGGTTCCCAGCATTGTCATGCTTCTGTGTTCTTAGTACGTTCATGCTTAATTAGAAAAATTACCTTACTACTTAACAGTCATTTTTAATTATTGTGGATGTTCATTGCTACCTATAGTTAAAAAAAAAAAATGAAGTTTGCTAGCTTGAGTTTCACATTCATGAACTCGGTTTTGGAATAACTACAAATACAATGAACTGACAAACTTGTTTATTCATTTATTTATTTATTTCAAGAAAGAAATAGAGAGTGGAAAAATAATTTTTCCAGAACATCTTCCTCTTAGCAAGTTACAGCAAGGAATAAAATCTGGTGCTTACCTCCAAGGATCCTATAGAGCAAGCAGAGAAAATTATCTTGAAGCTACTGTTTGGATTCATGGAGATGCTGAAGAAAACAGAGAGGTGAGTTTTGCATTTTAACTTCACACTGTCAACTTTAAGCAGCCTTAGTAATGACTTAAACATAATTCTTTCTTGGTGACATACACTGTTGAAAATGAGTATTATAGTATTCCTCTTCTATGTTTTTTTGTTATTACTTGTTTCCTCTGTTTTTGTTTGTTTGGATAGTGACTATTGAAATATGTAATATATCCCTTTCAAAAAGAGAAAACTTTAACTTAAGGTGTACTTCTTCTTTCAGTGAAGTGTTTGATAAATTAAAGCTGTATATTTTTCAATTGACCTGGATACAGCGCTGTTTGCTTCAATTTAAATTCATTTTGAACAGTATTGTGAAAGACAGAGAAACAAGGTTGTAGGAACAAGATTGTCAGCTGAACTGTGGAAAGCTCTGGAGGGTTCTTTCACATCTTTTTCTCTTCTATTTTAAAGCTTGGAGATAAGTAGATGGACTGTTCCCCTCCAGGCAGGCTAACCCTGCTTTCTGTTTCCTGGGTTCTCTGCTGGTCCTCTTGCACAGACGCTGTTTCCAGGCTGTAGCACTTGTCTGTTCCCTCTCTCCCTCCCTCCCTGTTTCTGGTCACAGCGGGAGCTGAAAGTCTTGGTCCCTGAGGGGTTTCTCTGCCTTTCCGTTTCTTTTATTTGCATATCCCCAAAGTTTGTGGAGGTACTTAACCTGCAAAACCAAATTAAAAGGGAAGCTGGGAGGAAGATGTCTGGGGAAAACCACTGTTTTTACAGAGAAAATTGTAATGCTGAAATAACATCATAAGTACTGAAAGACACCTAGACAGAGGAAAAAATGCCATAAAATAGCCATAACTGTTCTATAACCTGTTCTCATCCATTCTGCTGCTTTGATTGGTGTCTTTTTTGTGGTTGTTTTGAATATTTGCATTTTATTGCATATTTTGTCTCATTATGTTTATTTTCAAAAATAATCCAGATAATTATACAAGGACTTAAACATTTAAATCGAGCAGTTCATGAAGATATTGTAGCTGTGGAGCTGTTGTCAAAGGATGAATGGGTAGCGCCATCCTCAGTGGTCTTGCAAGATGATGACCAAAATGAAGATGACATTGAAAACGAAGAGGAGAAAGAAAACATTGTATGAAATAAACAAGAGGTTTTTCATTCTATATCATCCATGCCTTCTTTCCCCATTGTCTCTCTTCTTTGTGGTATGAGTAAGATTCGTTGTCACAGAAAAGAGACATTCTGTAGAGCTCGCTCAAAACTTTCAAACTTGGTAATTTTAAGAAGAAAGATAAGCCTTTTGTTTATTTTAAGTCAACTGTTATGTTGAAAGAGTGATGAAATCTGTGATACTCCGAGAGTGTTCTTAGTTTCATACATCTTCTTTTATACCGATTCCTAAAAGCTTTTGTGAGCAGTCTTTTTTTTTCCCTCAGATGAGAACTTAGTAAAATTGTAGGACTATAGTAGACATTTAAATATGTGATTTTGCATAAAATATACACTTTGTAATTTTGGAGGGAGGATTAATCCATTACATAAATTACTAAAATATTTTCTTAAGCTACATGAACCCCAAAGTTACTGAGTAATAATCAAATAATGCAAAGCTAAATATTGATCTTCAGATTGGATTTTGCTGGGGTAGGAGCAGATGTTGTATCACAGTGAGAATCGCTTTTAAAGTGAATATATGTATTTGGAACCCGTTGTAAAATTTCTTTAATTAATACGGTGATTATGCTTACTGTGTATGGACACTCACATGGACACTCACGTGTATCCTGTCCAAAAAAAAAAGGTATTTATTTATGTTGCAAAGGCAACAAGAGGCAAAGGCAACGTAAATAGAAAAAGCTTTTAAAAAATTCCTGGAAGAGTTAATGAGGAAAAAAAAATGGAGATAGTTGGAGGATAAGCAGAGACAGTACAAAATGATGTCATTTCTTTAGTCTTCTTCTGCCTTTTTCTTCTTTGTTTTCCTTGTGTCCATAAATGCAAAGGGTTTGTTTTGTTTTCAGGCAAGATAATAGATACATACAACAAGTACTACAGGTTGTACAGTCAAAGGACAGTGGGTGGGCAGGCATAGTTCTGCTTATGAAGTCATAATATACTTGATGGCCTTATAGTGATATGTAGAATGTCACCAGTGCAGCTTGTGGAATCTGCTCTAGGCAAACATGTTGACTTAATGAGCTCACGTAGTTTTGTGTTTTAACCCCTTCTACCAGCTGAAGGCTTCTGTTAACAAGAACATGCTGAGGCCTACAGGAAAGATAGTGGGCATTATAAAGCGCAACTGGAGACCGTTTTGTGGCATGCTGTCCAAATCACCGATCAAAGAGGTAGGCAGTAATGAAGTAATTATGAATGCAGAACATGGTTTTTTAAATTAGAAATGATTTTTTTCCCTGCCTACTACTAGGCAAGGCGACATTTGTTTACACCAGCTGATCGCAGAATTCCTCGCATTCGGATAGAAACCAGGCAAGCGGATACGTTGGAAGGACAAAGAATAATTGTTGCAATTGATGGTTGGCCCCGGAATTCCAGGTATCCTAATGTAAGTTTCTGAGTTTTTTATTTTTTTGTTGGTTTGTTTTTTGTTTTTGGTGAATTACTACTTACCTGATTTTGTAAGGTGATTATTATTATTGACAATACTGAGTAACTTCAAAAGTCTTGTTGTGAATTTTGATTTGACTACCATTCTTTGGTGAAAATTAAGGAAATACCTGAATAATTTAGTTCTCCCATACCCTCTCCCTCCTCAAAACAGCTTTATCATACTTAGAAAGTTTGGTCCTCAGCTTCTGCAATAAATATTTATGTGCTAACCAAGGTACTTTATTTAAACAAACTAGGCACTGCCTTGTTTTAGCCTGGATTCCTAGAAATGAGACTTCTGCTCTGGCTCTGTCTGCTCATCCCACACATTGATCAGCATCCTGGCAAGTAATTTTAAACATGCTGGCCAAATTCAGTTAAATTGCCAGTGGGGCAAAGTTATAGATGATTACATTATTTTAAGTCTTGTGTAAATAAACAGCAGGATGGAAGAGAAAACAAGGATGCTAGTTTTAGTTTGTGTTGAATGATAGTTAGAATAACATGAAAGGTACCCATTGGTAGTCTATAAGTGCATAGCTTATAAGGAATGTGAGCACAGGTATCTCTTGTGTGTTGAGAGATATGGAGGGAACTTGGAATATACGGAAAAAGTGCTAAAGCGAATGCAGCGTTGCTGCAGGGAATGAGAGACATGAGGAAAGAACTAGAATTAATGCAATATTTGGGAATAGAATGTGTGACAACACAAATTCGTAGAAAATTAGACATTATTTGTTCTGCTGCTTAGGGATTTTTTTTTTTTCATAAAAAACTGAATTGCCACCTTTGCAATTTCTTTTAGTCTTATCTGTGGAGAATTTAATATTATTCCAGGAAAAAATCAGTATTCTAGAGAGAAAAATACAAAGTTCAGACTTAGAATCATAGAATCATTATGGTTGGAAAAGACCTTCGAGATCATCGAGTCGACTGACTTACCGAGTCAGTGAAATGATGAAGATGAGAAAGTAGCTGAAGAAGGAAAGATGATTCCTGCTCTTTAGTTTAATACGGTAATAACCTATGAGGTAGTTGTCTCAAACAATGAAATATTTTTGATCAGTCAAACAAATTGCCTTGATATGCATATATATATATATATAAGTATATATATATTGTTTCTCAGGGTCATTTTGTAAAGAAGTTGGGAAATGCTGGAGATAAAGAGACGGAGACAGAGGTTCTTCTACTCGAACATGATGTTCCCCATCAACCTTTCTCTCAGGCTGTCCTTAGTTTCCTACCAAAAATGCCATGGACCATCACAGAAGAGGTAATGAAAATCATTTTAAAATTATTGCAATAATTAGCGTGCCACCTTCCTCAAATGGAAGTTTAGCATTTTGTGACATTCCTGGAGAGTGCCGTGTGATATAAAATGACAAAGACGTTCTGTCCAAAACCATTGCACTTTAGGATAGGCTTTAGCCTGATTTCCTATGGTAACAAGGTCTCTATTTTTTTGGTTTTTTGGATGGCTTTGTTTTGTTTTGTTTCCTGACTTAAACTGTGTTTGATGGCGATAGACCTCTTAGGATGATAACATCTTACAGTTTTCATAAAATTTGATGTTTGGGAAAAGAGAGAGACTACAAATCAGCACATTGTAAGATCATCTCTTTAAGAGTTTCTCATTTTGCTAAGTAACCTCTCTACCCAAATGTTATGTCCCTATGTTATCACTAGATGTTCTGAGAAGATGGTAAGTTATCCCAGGATAATCCAGGATACTTAGTCAAACAAAAGAAACTACAAAAATGCTGGGGTATGTTAAAAATCGCTTTTTGTAGAATAGTTTGTTTAAAGTCCTATGAATGAATTTCAAGTTATCCTCAGTAAATTAAATATGGAAAATGGTTGCTTTGAAATATATTAAAAATGGGATAATATTAAAAATTATCCCACTTTGGTGGGAGGAATTTATCTCTTCTAATATTAGCTATGTAGAAGTTAGTAGTGTAGTCTACGATACCTATCTGAGATCTTTTTGTTCTTGTACAAAGGTAAATCTCTAAAGTACTGGTCTTTTCACCTGGTTCAGTCATCAAGCCATTGATGACTAAAGTTAATTGAGAGAATTGCATCCTGAATGATTTGTCTAATTGAACATCAGATTAAGAATTTCATTTAAAATTTCTTGGTTCTTGATACCACTGAAGACCAGGAAATTACTGATTTATTCTATTTCTCTTCCTGTTTACTATTAAATAAAACAAGTTTCAGTACTCAAGATCTTACATTTTTCTTAGTTTTTCTATCACTATCCAATTTGGTCTTGTAAATAAGTAATAATATAAAATCTATCCTAAAACTAGAAAGTTAGCATACGTAAATTATTTAGTTACTTTGGAAAACCTTATCCAATGTGCCTTTCTCAAATGGTAATTTTTACTTTGATCTATTGTATGGTCTTGTAGGATCGGGACAGGTCTTAAAGCTTCCTGTTTCCTTTTTGTTTTAATTTCAGGATATGAAGTACAGGGAGGACCTAAGGCAGCTGTGTGTTTGCAGTGTGGATCCTCCTGGCTGTACAGATATTGATGATGCATTGCATTGTAGAGAACTAGAAAATGGAAATCTGGAGGTAGTATTTTGTTTTCTTACCAAACAAATCATTAATTGTGATAATAGCAGTGATAATAGGAGATAATTTGAGCAAATCTCCGATTAAGTTGTAAAAGGAATTGATGGTGTTAGCACAACTGTGAGAGAGGAATAAAGGGAGTTAACTGCCATTAGACAAATGTAACTTAAATATTCCTATAGCTAAAAATAGGAACTTATGGAGGTAATTGGAGATGGGTAAATTGGACTGTAGAGGTTTTAGAAAGTTTCTTTCATATTGGGAGTGATATTTTTCTGTTCCATAAAGTACATAATGTCATGCTTTTTGTTTGTTTGTTTGTTTCAGGTTGGCGTACATATTGCAGATGTCAGTCATTTCATTCGACCAGGAAATGCTTTGGATGAGGAGTCAGCAAAAAGAGGAACAACAGTGTATCTCTGTGAAAAAGTAATTGTCTTTTAATATAAAAGCATTTTTTTTTGTAAAATAAAGGGTTTGGGGTTTTCCTTGCTTTTATTTTTCTGTCTTGGCACTACAGATTCCCATTATCTGCAACCTAAAATTAGTAGAATCATTTGAGCTGCACTTAATTTGCATACTGTTTTATTAAAACAAATGTGCTTTCAAAGTCAGACTCCTTAGCAAAGTAGAGAATATCCCTTTAGTAGAGAATATCCCTTTTAACTCCTATGTTTGAAGCATATATAACATTGTTCTGAAACTGGACTGCTTCTGTTTTAAAGAAGATGAAATTGATCTGGGTTTGCTGTTTTTACTGTTTTGTTTGTTTGTTTGTTTGTAATAGCTAAATCTCTCCTTTTGCCTATGAGCTGTATACATTTCAGCTGTACATTTTGTCCTGTTTAAAATAACGTATTTCTCACAGACCACAATTCCTCTAAGAGAGTATCTTTACTTAAGAAAAAAAAAATTGATCCTGGAATGAGTCTTCTTTGAAGTAGCATTCTTTTTCTTTTGGAAATCTGAAAATGTATTTAGCTTAGTTTTCATTATGGGAAAAAATAAATATTTCCAACTTCTATTGTGTTAAGTGTCATGAAATTAAAATGTCATACTTTTAATCTTTATTTTGCAGAGAATTGATATGGTTCCAGAGTTACTTAGCTCCAACTTGTGTTCCTTGAGATCTAATGTAGACAGGTAAATGATTCCTGCTTAGATCCTGATAGGAAATGTTGAATGTGTAAATGTAGGTTTTAATAGATTTTTTTTTCCTGTCATAGGCTTGCATTTTCATGTATATGGGAGATGAACCATAAGGCTGAAATTCTGAAAACCAGATTTACAAAGAGTGTTATTAATTCCAAGGTTAGTCATACTAATATTATTTTCTTTCTAAAGAAAAACTGGATACCTTTTTACAAAAGCAGTCATCAACAGGCTTGTTTCCTTTGCTTTTTTTTCTCTTTATTGATTCATTTACATTTTCTTAGAATTAGAAAAAGACTGTTCAATCCTAAAATATAGTAGACAATTCAAAGAACGGACAGGATCAGAACCTTCAAGGTTATCATGTTTTTGTGAACTAACTTTGCTATGAAATTACAAGCTGCACCTGTTTATCCTGGAGAATAGAAGACTGAGAGGGGATCTGTTCAATATGTACAAATATCTGAGGGGAGAATGTAGGGAGGATGGGGCCAAACTCTTCTCGGTGGTGGCCAGTGACAGGACAAGGGGTAATGGGTACAAACTGAAACACATGTGAGGAAGAACTTCTTTCCTGTGAAGGTAACAGCCCTGGAACAGGCTGCCCAGAGAGGTTGTGGAGTCTCCTTCTCTGGAGATCTTCAAAACCCATCTGGATGCCACCCTGTGCCACATGCTCTAGATGTCCCTGCTGGAGCAGAGGGGTTGGACTAGATGATCTCTAGAGGTCCCTTCCAACCTCAACCATTCTGTGTGATTCTGTGATCTGTCCTGTTTTTACCATTACTCCTTGAGAGTGACATACTTAGGTGTTGAATGTAAAGCCTAATGCTTTGCATTCTCATGCCAAGTGAAGCAACTTGGACAGGGCACTGCAGTTTCTGCGAGGCAGGAGTGTTCTGCTGCTCCTTACTCAGCTCTGCACCATGCTGCCTTTGTTCTGCTTCCCTCTAAGGCCTCTCTCACGTACGCAGAAGCCCAGATGAGAATTGACTCAGCAGCCCTGAACGATGATGTTACTACAAGCCTACGTGGACTGAACAAGTTAGCAAAAATCCTGAAGAAGAAAAGAATCGATAATGGGTAAGGTATTCAGTGTCTCCTTTTTCATTTCCATTCTTTTTTGGGTATTGCTGTCAAACTTTACAATGTTCTTCTGTGTCCATTTTCAAGTAAGTAACATTCGGCATTTTTTTTTTTTGCCATTTTGATTTGCATAAACATAGATATCTTCATCCCCTGTAAAATACAAACTGTGAATGCTAACTTTTTCTCCCTCTGGAAAAATAAATCAGGAATATGGATCTCATGCAGTCATAAAAACACAAGCAGAGGAGTAGCATTTTAAATTTGAACATTTAGTTAATGTATGTCAATACTGTAGTTTCTGCTAATTTGGACACTATTTTTAAATACTTATTTTCAATTTCTGCTAGTTTTAAGTTACAGTTTCAACCCCTGAGGATGTTCACAAGCCTGCAGCCCAGCAGGTTCTGCTTTGTTGTAATTCTCTGATTCCACTTGCTGCCTTCCAGAGCTCTGACACTTGCCTCCCCGGAAGTGCGTTTCCACATGGACAGCGAAACTCACGATCCCATTGATCTGCAGACCAAGGAGCTCAAGTAGGTCCCCTTGTTTCCTTTAGCTGCTTCATTCGGGGCAGGGAAGGAAAAGGGATGTTTAAGGGTGTACACAGCTTAGGGAAGAGTGCAGGACAATAATCCTAAAAAAGTCCATCCTGGTGTATTTTACACTAAAATTGATAAAATCCAATATCACAAGCCTTAACCGTAGGAACACATTTAAGTACTTTACTACTAGTCCCTATTACTGATTTAGTGGAACACTAGGTTCTGAACTCTCACCATCCCACTGAGTTGTCTATGATGCTTTTCTAATACTCCTAACCCAGGAGAGCAGATAGAATGTGACACCATGGAGCCTGGAAATGTAAGAACAGCAGAGCACTTGCTGCCCACGTGCTGAGTGATGCAGAGGCCCTTTTAGAAAGGGAGTGACCGATTCCAACTTCTGAAGCTAGACACTTATTCTTGCTGAGTACTACTCAGTTTCTGGGCCAAACCTATGCTCCGTTTTCTGTACTTTTGTAACTTGATGCTGTGCAACATGATGCTTTTAAACTTAATATGCTTCATATTGGAACAACACTGTTAAATCACACAGAAATAAGGGGGTTTAGCTGATGATGACTTTGGAGGTAGCAATGTCATTTTAAAGTGCACTTTTTAGAAATATAATTTGTGATTTTAAAAAAAAATATTTCTTTGCATTTTTTTTATTCTGCCTCTCCCTTTTTTATTCTGCCTAATGAATGTTTTTTCATTAGGCACTCAATGCCAATACATGATTTAATGCTTTTCTAATGATACAAAATGTTTTTGGTTGGTAGGGAAACAAATTCCATGGTTGAAGAGTTCATGTTGCTCGCCAATATCTCTGTAGCACAAAAAATCTACGATGAGTTCTCTGAGTTTGCCTTGCTCCGAAAACATCCTGCGCCGCCCCCCTCAAACTATGACATTCTTGTGAAGGCAGCAAAGTCTAAGGTGAGTTTTTGCTCTGCTGATGAAGGAACTTAATTAAGAGCTCTATTTTTCTTTCTGATTAGCCATGTTCCAAAGAAAAAGTGCTGGAAAGTATTTTTAAAGAGTAATCTGGTATATTTGGAGACTGCTACTACTTGCTCTTTGAAGACCCTTTCTCATGTAAAGGAGGCAAAACACTCTACGTTGGAAAAGATGGTACAAGATCTTTCGTATTGCAACTATTGTGCACTTTGAACATTTCTCCTCTCCAGGCTTTCTAAACCTGTTTTTGGCTTTGCTTCCATATACGCTTCTGAGCTTCTTAAAAACGGGTCAATCGCATCAAGTAACATCTCGGTTAAAGTCAGGGAGTAAAAAACTGTCTTCAGATGTGTTTATAGTTTCCATCCCCTCCTTGGATCAGCTAGAAGTTGCTATAGCCTGAAAAAAAAGTCTAATTTTGCTACAAAGCCTGAAATGGAAAATTGTTTTTCCAATTTTGGGATGTTTCTATACAAGTTTTCCTATGGTCCTCACTTGAGGTAAACTTTCTGAGTAGGTTAACAATCATCATTAAAAATTCCTTTCCCTGAAACTCTGTCTCCCACCACTCCTGCTGCTTTTATTTTTCCTCCCAAGGTATGCAAGCGACTCCTAAGTTTTAGATTTTAGATGAACAAAACCCAGTCTGTTTCACTTTCTCCTGCTTTATATTTGGGATAATAAATGATTTCATTTCTAATTTGATATTGACTTTAAAAGTACATTTTTTCTCAGAAGCTTAAATTTCTCTGCCTGGAAAAGATCATTGTAATAGTAGTTGATTTAACTATACCTTATGTGACAGAACCAAAACAATTAGGGGGTGTATATACTGTGTTTTGTTATGCTTTGTTTGTAAGTGTTCGGTTCCTTTTCCATAATAAAGGCGTGCTTTGATCTGTAGGTCAATGTTTCCTTGTCGGTGGTGCACATGAAGGAAAGAACTTTTTACTGATCTTGTGATAAAACTTTGTGGCACTGAAGATTAAAAATGTATTTTCACTGTGTCTATACTTTATCAAGGATCACTGGCACAAGTGAAACAAGCTTAGTGTCATTTACCAGCAGTTTTACAGGTCATTTTACTGAGTACCTGTTTCGAGACATCTATGGTAGAAATACAAGACAACCAAGTAGTGCTTGCATTGTACCTCAGTGAAAATCTTTCAGTATGGCACAAATGACATGTAATTGTGGCTCACCCCCTTTTATTATTTAATGCTTCTCTGTATATCCCATTTATTATGGTTATCGCATACCCTTTTGGATTTAGTGTTCAGTCCAGGGACAGAAAAAACAAGCTAGAGGAAATAACAGCTCCATAATAACAAATTGAAATGAAAGTGAGGGAGAGGTATGGACAGGGGCTTGGGAGCCAGGGGTGCATTTTGTGTTTCTTGGCTTTTTTTTAGTTTTAAATTGTCATTCCATTATGTTCTCTGTGCTTCGGAATTTTCTGGTGTGAGACCCGTGCTGACTGCTGCAACCAAGCTGGATGTCGCTGTTGCATCCGTGCTCATGCCCTGTTACTGTTTGACAGTAATGCCTGGCTTCTTCCCCGCAGAATTTGGAAATCAAGACGGATTCGGCCAAGGCGCTGGCGGAGTCTCTGGACAAAGCGGAGGCTCCTGCTTTCCCCTACCTGAACACGCTGCTGCGGATTTTGACCACGCGCTGCATGATGCAGGCCGTGTACTTCTGCTCTGGCATGGAGAGTGATTTCCATCACTACGGCCTGGCATCACCCATTTACACACACTTCACCTCGCCCATTAGAAGGTACTTCTGTCCTCTGAAACTTATGTAAAAGAGAAGGTGATATTATATGTTAAGAAATACCATTTTAAACTGTTTCCCATTTGAAAAGAAACCCTGTCTCTGTTCAGTTACTTTCCACAAGTTCTTCATCTTTGGATTGGAAACACAATGACTTACATGGCCTGTCTTCATTTAACTCCTTCCACACTCCTAGGTTCATTGCAGACGATTCCTGATAAATGTCTGATAAAGGCTCACGCATTAAAAATGAACGAGCAGTACATCCCTCACATATTTCTCTAGCATAAAAATGCATTTTGGACCACTCAGAATTAAAGAAGTCAGCAAGAGACTGAGGCACTCTTTGGCTGTGTTGAAAAATACTCTATATAGTATTACTACCTGTAAAATACAATCGCCTTACAAGTTTGCATTAAGATAAAAATGATGTTAATTGGAAACTTGCTACTTCCTTGAGGCATTATAATGAAATTGCTTATAAAAATACATATTAGGGTGCCTCTTCAAATCAAAGAGTTATCTTTATATTTTGTTCCTTAGAAACATTTCAAATGAAATCTCTTACGTGGAATTAAATTCCTGTGCAAGACGTGTGGATAACTTGGGGAGTTTCTACGTACTGTTGTCATAAACTTCAGTTGCAGACGTGTTGAAAACATCCTGGCTCTAGTTTGAATAAAAAAGTTATGCAGTTGTGCTTTGAAACATCGGTGGTACTGAAGTACCCTTTCTACACTGAATTTGCCTACTTCATGTGAAAGGAGAGAGGGAATGACTTAAGCTGCTGCAGTTAAGCATCATTCTTGAATCCAGAAATCAAGCTTTGTGTCGTTTTGTAAATCTTAAACAGTACAGGCTCTAGTGGCAGAGCACAGAAAATCTTTAATATTGGCAGTCCCTTCTGCCTCAGCAGAGAGTATCTTTGGTCAATAAAGACAGCGTGATCTTGCATTCATAGTGTTAGCAGCAGACTATCAGTTTTACAACGGCTTTTTGGTCTATACCATCTGTAGGGACAAAATAATGTTTGGTTTTGTAGATGTTGTAAGAAATCCTTTTGGTGCAGCAGAAGTTATTTAATGTGTTCTGCAGGTACGCTGACATTATAGTCCATCGCCTCCTGGCAGTGGCTATAGGAGCAGACAGCACCTACCCAGACCTTACAGATAAGCACAAACTAGCAGAGCTCTGCAAAAATCTCAATTACCGACACAAGATGGCTCAATATGCCCAGAGAGCGTCCGTCGCCTTCCATACACAGGTAAGGAGGGCTGAGCTGGGAGGATTTCCTGGGGAAGATTCCGGTGTTTGTAAAGGAAAACGGGCAATATCGAGTCGTAGCAACTGCTTTACAATGCACGTGTGTGGCACTAACTGCTTAAGTCTGCAGAAATGATTAAGAAAAATGCTGTATGTTTGAGAAAAAAAGCCTCAAAATGACAGTGGTAGCTTTGGAAAAATCAGCATAATGGCATCTTGAGTATTCCTTTTAATTTTTTTTTAATAAATATGATAAACAATACTACAAGGGTATTAAAAAAAAAAACAGGATTATTTGAACTTGCTTTAATACGTGTTTTGTAATGATCACTACATACAACTCGTATTTGCTTATGCTTATAATCTATTAACAGCATTCCATAGAATTTTTCTTATGTATATTTTTCTTTTCTTACAGCTGTTCTTCAAAACTAAGGGAGTGGTGAATGAAGACGCATATATATTATTTGTAAGAAAGAATGCAATTGTGGTCCTGATTCCCAGGTATGGGTTAGAAGGAACGGTCTTTTTTGAAGAAAAAGATAAACCAAGCCCAAAACTTGATTACAACAGTGAGGTATGTTTTATAACTTCTGTTCTTAATTACCTTTATTTTTTGAATTGGTAACTGGTCAGAATGACTAAAGTTTCTTCTGCTTGGCTTTGAAGGGTAGTGGAGGCTTCAGTAAATAAATAAAAAAAAATCTTAACTAACTGGTAACCCTTATAAAAGCTTAGATGAAAGGGTTCTGAAGGAAGAGGGGCGGTTCTCTTTTGATACCTACCTGAATAAATACTGCAAAATCATGTTACTGTGGGCATTCATGACCCTAATCTCTCTTAATTTTTAGTAGCATGTAGTATTTAATAGCATTACAAATTTTGCATAAAAATACTTACTTGTATAAAAATATAAGATACACTATAAGCAGCAAGTATTTACAAGTTTGAACTTTTAGGTGCCATCACTTACTGTGGAAGACACAACGCTCCATATATTTGACAAAGTTAGGGTGAACATTGTGTTAGATGCTTCTAACATCCAGCATCAGAAGATCCGCATGATATTGGTAGAACCAAAGGTAAGGCACAGGTTTCGCACTGTAGTATTTACTGAGGCACAACTGGAGATTTAACTTCAATACATTTAGCAGCAGAGTGGAGCAATTGCTACATATCTGCTCTCAACAAAACACACCTCTTCTTTCACTTCACTCGCTTTAGAAAAGAATTGGCTCTAAACTAAACTTCCCTTCTTGGCCTCTGTTTTGAGTGATGAGGAAGATGAGGGGTTGCTGAAGATCTCTCTTGAATTTCACAGTTCTGCTACCTTTTTTTTTTAAAAAAAAAAAAAACTGTAATAACTCAGTAGGAGCCTTCTTTTAGTTCCAGTAAATGACTGTGTAATTGTGAGAGTAACTCTTATTTCTGAGGGCAGCCAGGGAAGTCTGTGTAAGGAAGGGCTGGTTCTTGGAGGAACAGCAGGAGGAGGTGTGTGAATGTCAGCCCTAGACTAAAACTTCCATCATATAAAAGTATCTCTCACTAATAGTGTAAGAAAGAACTATAGCATCCAAATACTATATTCTCTCTGGTGTTAACTGGTTTAGATTCGAGCTTCTTCTCAGTGCCAGTAGAGTCTGTTTTCCACTAACATTTTCCAGTTTCTACTTACTTAACATCCCTTTTTCCTCTGTCTTGTCCTCAACTGCGTATTACTCTGTGTGATGACGTTGAAAGGCCCCAGTGGAGCCCCCTGGTTCCAGGCTCCTGCATGGTTCCAGGCTCGCTTTCACCTCTCATTCCACTGCTCCCCCTTCCTCGCACGTATAAACGGGTGCTAGAGGCACCACCAACACCTCAAAACTGGGCACTCCTACCTCCTGCCCCCTACAAAAGCAGCAGGGGCAATACATTAACAAGGAGGGTGCTTGTGGTTGTACAGAAATCTATCCTCATTTTTCCCCCAGGTTTTACTTCCATTTAGGGTTCGAGGTGTGATAGTTTTAAGACAGCAGACCCATTCTGGGTACCGACTGTAAGACTATCAATATTAGCAAATTGTTTGACTTTACTTCTACACGCATATACATTTTATCAATATAACATTATTTTAAAAATTATATATATATATAATATAAGCTAAAACTTTGACCTAAGTCTTTTCTGACTCTTCATTCTATTTCACTGTAGATACTAGGAAAAGATGTGCCTGCAGATGCACCTACAGAGACAAGTATCAGCAATGAACCTGAAAAAAAGAAAAAGAAATCACAAGAATAATGGAAGAGTTAATAAAACACACACACACGTAATGAATTGTTTGTATTTACATGTTTTCCTTATGGACAAACTGCTACAGACATTTTATGTTTACTTTTAAATACGTATTTTAATAACTTGTAAAACCGTGCATTTTTAATTTTTTTTTTATAAGTAGATGTACGCAAGAGCACAGTTGTTTTCAAATCAAGTCTTACAGGTGAAAATAAATACTTCTGGAAAGTGAAAGAATAATTGCAGGATGGTTTTTTTGATTGGTTGCTCTTTATTTGTTGTTTCTCAACATCAGTTTCATAGAAGCTTCCATGACTTGTGAAAGAACCTTCAAGAATCAGTTTACTGCTGTCAGTGGGATGATTTTGCTGTAAAATTATTCCTGATGCCAGTGTTACTTTGTGGGAGCAACACCTAGACTTGACTTTCCAGAAAGAGGCTGCAAGCAGCCATCTTCCCCATAGAGGAAGGCTGCAGGCCCCAAGTCTTTGCTGTTCATGTTGTGCCAGCACCCTCGCAGGGTAAGATCCAGTTCTTGAAAAGAAACCAGTCCCTCCAGTCCCCAGAACGTTCAGTCTCTCACTTCTCCAGCCCTTGTTCACCCCCTTCCCCCTTTCTTTTTGGTCCATCATTGGCTATACTGCATTGGTCCCAATTTATTGAGGAAGCTGCCTGAAAGTTAGCAAGGATATTCTTGTGTTCTTCTTCTAGGAGATGTTCATGAGGCATTCACTTTCATACATACTCCTATGGTCAATAGCTGACAAAAATAACCTTGCAATAGCTAACATACCTTCCTGTCACCAAGCACAGGAGAAAAAAAAAAACTGTATAAACAGAAGATGGAGAGAAAGCTATTAAAAAAAGAGTGCTAGTCAAAGTTAACTGTAAAATGATAGATTTTTAAAGGTAATTTTAAGGGTTGCCTATAAAGCTTAGCAGCAAGAAACAACCCAAGTTATGTTCTTCAAAAGCAAGTCCATGAAGAAGTGTAAGTACAGGTACCTGAGCAGGCACAGAGGAGGCCACTGGGTTTCTCACACCGATAACACACTCTCCTCTGCCTAAGGGGACTGTTTAGTTCAGGGGACTAATTAATCACAACTGAAACATTTTCCTTCTGTGAGGTGAGGCCCAAAGGAAGTCAAGAGTGCTCCTAGACTCAGCACTCAGCTTCCAGCACTGTCACTTTGCCCAAGGTTTCTTCGAGGCAGCAGCTCTTCAGAGTTGTGAAAGTTCTTTTCAGCTGCCTCTGCTCCCAGTGTTTAGCATTACAGCAGCTTTCAGGTCTAGCTTCAGCAGCACCTGCTAGTGCCAACTCCTAGCTCCCAGTACCAAGAAACAACAATCCCAGAGATGGACAAGATTATCCCCAAAATCTTAATCTACAGCTCAGCAGCATCTGCAATAGTAACTCACTCCTTCTCAGAGATTTAATTTTTATTTTTAATCAATAGCTCAAAGATTATCAGATCTCCAAAGCAGGTATTTATACAGGTATCATAAAGAAACAATTATCACATTTAACAGATTGCAATAGAAAAAACATATCCTCTGAATGACACATCTGAGTCCTGGCACAGTAATCCCACAAAGTTTTTCTGACATTTAAAAATTTTAGAAAAAGAAATGTATCTTGTGTGTGTCTTGACAAGAATTTCAAATCACTACTGAGTAGTTTATACAGGAGTAAAAGCCTCCTGATGTTGGAGTTCCTTCTGCCTACAGTTCCAGGGGCTGTCCCCTTGTTCCCATCACACACACACACACACACACACACACTAGAGCAACAGAAAAACTAAGGCTGTTGCAAATTAGCACCACACCAATTACAAACAACCTAGGTATGTAAGAGCACCAGGTTTTTATTCTTTCATCACTCAATTTACAATTATCCATAGTATAAGACAGTTGTTAAACTACTGAAGTTAATGTAAACAATGACCATTTGTGCAATACGTGCGAGCCAACACACTGAGTAAAACTAGAGTAACAAGCTCAAATGATTCCACAATAATTTGTACAGTAGATTTCCTGTAGACAATTACATAAACTTAATAAAAATATGCAAGTCTTCCTAAAATAAATAATTCCAATTTCAACTTTCTACAATCTATCTGGAGACTGTAAAAGTGGAGACAGAGTTTATGGGGGAGGAGAAGGGTCTTGCTTCTCACTCACCCGTTTGTGAGGTAACCCTCCCTTGCCATTAAGCAGAGGCTCATGAAGGGTGCAAATAAATGTTTTAGTGATTGCTTTATTTGAAACGATCTGGAAAACCTTCGATCATCCAACTTAGCACTACAAAGAATCAGAAGGCTTAATTAAAAAATAAAACTGTATTTTCAGCACTCATATGACACAGAGCAGCTCAGAGTTGGGTCATAATGGGGACTAGCCTGCAGATACATCTGCCCCTTTACACTTGCAGGTATTAGTATTCAAAATTCTTGCTGGCAAAAAATTAATCCTTTGCACATTTGGGAAGTTTATCATTATACTGATCAGGTCTTAAGCAAATTACCACGGGTAACAAAAGGAACAAGGTGACAAATAACTTGAACTCTCTGACAAGAAATTGTCTTGCCTTTGAACCACAAACCTTATAAGCTAAAGCTAAGAGTATTTTGGATGCCCTGTCCAACTCGTTCATTCTTTCAGAAGTATAAGTTTCTTCTCTACCCAAACTGGTTTGCAACATTAATTCTCTAACTTTACCTGTGTAGTTCCAGGTTTTAGTAGGCACAGTATCAAGATCAAATGTAGATGATTCATGAGGACATTAGGTTTAATTATCAATCCCTGGATTACTCAAACACATATTACAGAAATATTGATTAAAATGGCTTGGAAGTAATATAATCCCTCAGGTTTGTTGGTTAAAATTAAATGATTTTCTCCAATGTTAGAACTAAGACTAAAAGACACTATATTGATGGTGTTTCCCAGGTTAGTGAGGTTTCTTGTTCCCAAAGCCATTACTGCTGAGAGGTATTGATGAAAATTTTTGAAGAACTGTTCTATTCATACAATATTTGCACACAAGTCTCTGTTCTGATATTGCTTTTTAATGCCACAAAATTCTGTTCATACTTTCATATTTCACACTTCTCTTGAAGTTTCTATAAAATGCTGTCAGTTGCCTCCAAATGTGGATGTGACTGATTCTGCTCCAGGCTTAATGCACAAGAGCTGCTCGCCAGCCCTGCTCAAATCACTTGGATCCTGGCACTTCTGTGGGCTGTTGAATAGAATAGGAGACAGAATTTCCATCCAGTATCCTGGGATTGGAGATCCTTGCTGTGAAAAAAGAGGAAGACCATTTCAACAAGAGCAATTAGCAGAACGGACTTTTCTTACTGATTAATCCAGCAAAGCTTACTTCAGAGACATGCAAATGTGTAATTGGGAAATTTTAATATTTTCCTTCTCTATTTCCTTCCACTGTGACTTAGGGGGGCTAGAAAACAAATGCTTTTCATTTGATCCTTCTCTGGAGATCTTCCAAACCCACCTGGCTGCGACCCTGTGCCACATGCTGTAGGTGTCCCAGCTGGTGCAGAGGAGTTGGACCAAATCATCTCTAGAGGTCCCTTCCAACCTTAACCATTCTGTGATTCTGTGAGTAATTTCCTATTCCCCTCTATAAATCTGAAAGGTTCTTTTGAGCAGATACAACCATATTTTAAACCAACCTGATTTGATTAGGAGTTTGGGGCTTCCAGACCCCCTCACTCCATGACTTCTGCTCATTGAGAGTTTTGTTGAAGCTATCAGTATCTTCTTTATCTATTTAACTGGCATTGAAAACCTTTTTTGTAATTGATTAGCTAGAAACACTAACAATTTCTGTAACAGCATTAATAGTAATATTAGGACTTTGATGCTAGAGTGAAATAAAAATATATATATATGTAACTGTTTACTTTAATAGAGGAAAGGCCACACACTTTCCCTAATACTGCACTGTGTCTCTGGCTGTGCTTTTGTGAACCAAAGCATCCATTCAGTGACAAGTGTTCAGAGATGGTTACATCAGCTCCTAGACAAGTTACAAATGACCAGATCCAGTGTTTTTCTCTTGAAGCTGAAGTTACAGCCAAACTTTTAAAACAATATATTTTAAAATGAGGTGTCTCTTCAAAGAATTTGTCTAATCACATAAGAAATGGTGAGAAAAAAATACAATTTCTTTATGCTGAGCAAGTTTAGCCACTTTGTTTTCAAAATGGATCACTTAGTGATATCAATAACAAATATCAATAAATAAGGTTAATGCAACCTGCAACCAAAAAACCACCCCTGAGTTATAAATTCCCCGAATACGTGTCAGGCAACTCATCATACTTGTACTAAGAAAGGAAAAGAACATGAGCAATCCAGGTAACCAAGATAAAATACAACATGCAACTATTATACAGCACAACACAATTGAAGTTCCCAGTCGCAAAACTACGTACCATTTCTGTGAAATCCCTGTATTTGATTCTCACTGTTATGTTGCCAGGTAGAAATGTTGCAAGTTGCATTTTGACCAAACACTATATTATGCTTTTTTGCATTATGGAAACAGGATTGCTTCTCTGGAGATTTTGCTCTCAGCAACTGATTGTCCTTATGGTTTAAAGCAGAACACTCCTAGGTTGATAAGGAGAAGCTTGTTTAACACTATTTTCATAGAAGTATCTCAAATAGAGATAAGATAGATAGATCTCAATAGAACAAGAGCCAAACCTAATATCTGCAAATTTTGATTCGCAGTTAGTCTAAGCCTCACTCTCCACTGTGAAATAAGAAAAGAAATGAAGGGCGTTTTTTTCTCCCTACATTTTTTAAACACACAAATATTTTTAGCACACGTATGCTCTGAATGAGCCAAAGTAGATACTTCTGGCCAGCAAAATACAGATTTTTCTTGGTATTCACTACGAGTTCTTGTTGTGAGAGTTGCAAGAAGCACTAAATACCTTCACACTTAAAACCTCATCCATATTGTAAAGTTGAACTTAATCAGGATGTAACAATTGAAAGACCAACATCTGCTGAAGAGAACAGGCCAAAGAAGACACATCAACACTGTATTCTAAAGATTCAGAAGTGTGGAAAGTTGCACAGCATTGGGGAGCCTCTAGGGCAGGTCTGGTATAAGGGATTGGACTCTGATGGATGCACTTACCTATGGACCCTAGGTCCAACACCACATATATCTGTTTCAGGAGACATTATGTATTTTCAGAAGTTATTAAAATGTATGGACCTATTCTTCCTGTAAGGGCAGAACTATCCTAACCAAATTCCTAGGCAGAGTCAAATTTTGATGTTATCAATCTATGAGACATCTTCAATCCACTCTCTACCATGAAGCACCTTTGCACAGGATGATGGTAGGGGGGAAGTGGTTATTAACATCCCAAGATACAAAAATGAAATCAGTACTGAAGGGGTTTGTTGTTCTTGTCTCAATCTTTCTATAATCTGGCAATAGAAAAACAACAGAAGCAAAAATAAGGGCAGCTACCATGCATCAAAAGGCATAAGCAACTTCACAACTTACTCTTCATGTGCTTTCCTCAGTTACCCCTGAAGCTGTCTTTGTCACTGTCATACAACATATTTACTTTGTAGGCCATTTTCTATTTGTCCTGCATTTATTCCTTGTTTTCTGCATAAGGCCTGCAATGCAACTGAATAAATGTGTGTACAGCTCTTCTTTGGCCTGACAGTTTATCTCAAACCTCTCCAAATGGAAGAAAATAAGGGCACAGAAGCTGTAGATGGTAAAGGTACCACTTTTGTTTCATAGTGCAACTCCTACCTTCATTTTGAGAAGCTGAGATTTATTCTGAAACACATGTGTATTCACATCATTTTCTCTGCAACTGTTCTCAGCCCCAGCAATATCCATCATGCTGCTTCCACCTGTCTGTGTATTATAGCCACTGTCCACCTAAAAGCAAGAATCAGAGCTTTAAAACACATAGGAACTCATTGCTAATAAAGTCTTCAAATTCCATAGGTGAAAAGACGTGCGTTTCACTAACACAGCTTAACCACACAAACCAACTAGTTGTATCTGTTGGTAGCAAAAATTAGTTCGGATTAAGTCCAATCTACCACTGCATGTAGTAGCAAAGAAATCATTTACTATGATTGCTACGCCAATCCCACTGGGGCAAGGAAAGGCTGCCAAGAGCGCCAACACGCAGCCAGCGTGCCCCGCGGAGCAGGAGGGACGGGGCAACGACGGCTGGGAGGGCTGAGCGCCCCGGCGCGGCGGGCGAGGAGCCGGCGCGGCCGTGCTGGTCCTACCTGGAGGCTGCTGCTGTCGGCGGGCAGGGCGCTGCTCTCGGCGAGGGGCGACACGCACATGCGGGA